ATAACCATTCAAAGTTGCATTTTCATGTTTTGCCAAAGGATCCAATTCGGTACCTAAACCTATTTTGTGGTGCAGAACCTAACTTTATCTAATATAATTTATATTTAAGTTTAGACATTTTTAAGAAATCTAACACAAAATAAAAGTTATACAAACATAACCTTAAAATCAAACATTTTTATATTTGAGTACTCTAAAAAACGCCTACAACTGCATTTTAAAATAGTAAACGACGAGGTAAACGACAAAATATATCCACGAGTTCATGGCAACATAATATAATTTATAAAACAAAATATCCTACCCGTTTTTGGTATTTTACCGTTGAGTGAAGACTTTCTTAATCAACGCTTTAATAATTCATAATGCTGTTTGCATTTAGACAACTTGCTTGTTTTATGATTTTTACTGAATTTAAATGTTTACAATTTTCACGTAAATTATTAATAAAATGTGTATTTATTGTATCAAATGGATATTTACAGGGACTGTAAGCAAATTATTTCTTCATTTGAATTTCCACTGTTTATTGGGAAACCGGTAAAAACTTAACCATGTATTCCTCTCGAAAAATACCCAACAACACAACAAATCGTTCCACAGTTTTTTTTATTGATATTTTTTTTACATTTTCTGGCCTTATTCTCAAAAACACTCGTTTGTAACATACGCGTTTGACAGCTGCTTAATAAGAGCTCTATTTTAGTTGATGATAATGGCCACCTAGTGGCGGCACTAGCGATACTTCTTTAGCGTATTGCATCTAAATATTTAAAATACCTCTAAGCCAAATTTGTATATGGAATTTGCTTTATAATTTAATTAAATGCACAATAGGAATACTGACCATGCCCATGCATGCATAATCTGCGGTCTAGGTAAATTATAAGGTTTGAGATAATGATATATCACCGGACTCGGAATTTGCTGTTACATTCCCCAAAACTGTAATAGGCATGGTAATTAATATTGGCCGTCTTAATTAAGAGCAACCCCACAGACAACATAATGTATTACCACTTTAACTTTACCCAGCTCATCCAGTTTTGTAATTATCCAATCACTCATTAAAATTCTCAATATATACGAAAAAATGTTTTCATTATTAATTCCGGCAAATACGTGTGCGTAAAAAACCTTTGTAAAACCCTCTGGTGAGCGCAATAAAAATACGTTTATAATCATCAAATAGGAATAAAACTAAAAATAGTTTAATATCATACTGTATAAATAAACATAATTACCATTTTTCTGTCTTAATTACAGCTGTAAATTTTACAGTGACCGTTGGAAATCACCCTTTATTATTCCTGGACATAAGTATATAAAGGAATTACCAATAAGCCCATTTGAGTTTATCAAAAAGTTTTAAATGGTTTTATTTCATGATTTTTTCAAACCAGGCCTGTGCGCACGGGGGGTTATTGGAGAATCAAGCCCATCGACGCACATAGGAGTATTTCTAATAAAAAGTCGATCAAAAGTCGATTTCTAGAATTTTTTCAAAGTCTACTATTGGCGGTACATCTTTGAAGCTTAATAAAGGTAACATCATTAAACAGCCACTTCGGTGACATCCCGCCCTCCCTTCAACCGTGACAGCTGTCAAAACACAACCATCGCGTGAAAAGCTTATCTTTGTTTTCGGCGTTTTTTTTGAAACGTCATATTTCAAACCGTTTTTTGAGTTTGTGTGCAGTGAAATCTAGTAAGAATCATAATGGATATTGTAAGAGGAAGGTAAGTACATAAATAAAGAATATATATTTTCTTGATTTTACTTGATAAAGGGATATTTCTCATCATATACAAGGTGTCCCTAAACTTATTGGCATAAATTTAGGAAAGGATTGACCAAGTAAAAATAAGACAAAAACCTAAATAAATATTTTTCCTAATTACTTAAGTTTCCAATATCACTTTTCCAAGACTAACATAGTAGAAGTTATATTAAAAAAACTGCAAAGGATTAAAAGGTAGGTAGGTATATGATAACAAATTTTATTTTTTTATTGAAAAAACTAAAAAGGGGATTCCATAAGCCTCGGGAATTTTTGCCCTGACCGTCACATTAAAAAAAATTGTAGTTTTTTCAATTAAAAAATTTGATATCATATAGCTTTTACTAAAAGGCTTTTAGTCCTTTAATGCGATATAACAATTATTGTAACCTCGAATATCTCGGAAACGGTTTATTCTATCGAAGTTTAAAAGGTACACCTTTTTAATAGTAGCCGAACTGAGTAATCAAAAAATAGCATCAAATGGTATAAAAACATAACCTCAAAGTTTGTATGGGACAATAAGCTTAAGCAACCCCTGTTTCTACGACACTGTGTTCACTCAAACAATTTTAATTATGTGTTTTGGTAGTAAGTGACTATTCGCAAAATATCACCTTTCCAAGTCTACCATAGTAGAAGTCAGTGGCGGCTGGTGGATTTTGGGCACACCCATATCTCAGTTATTAGACATGGGACCTACATCAAATTTATATGAGTTTATAATGACATTTTATAGACAAGTTCTGCGCAAGCAGAATTTAAATTAAAGTTTGCGAAAAAAAGTTAGTTTTTAAGTGGAACCCCCAGCCTCCTGCCCCTCCAAATTAAGATAATTCAAATTAAAGTGGTACAATATTTAATTCATTGAAGTTTATCGACAAATTTCAAATTTTATTAAAAAAATTCAAGTATTACAGATTTTATACCATTTAAAATTTTTTTAAATTTAGTAAAACAAATAATAAAAATTATAAATGGTATAAAACCTGTAATTCTTGAATTTTTTTAATAAAATTTAAAATTTGTCGATAAACTTCAGTGAATTAAATATTGTACCACTTTAATTTGAATTATCTTAATTTGGAGGGGCAGGAGGCTGGGGGTTGCACTTAAAAACTAACTTTTGTTCCCAAACTTTAATTTAAATTCTGCTTGCGCAGAACTTGTCTATATAATGTCATTATAAACTCTTATAAATTTGATGTGGGTCCCATGTCTAATAACTGAGATATGGGTGTGCCAAAATCCACCAGCCGCCTCTGGTAGAAGTTATATTAAAAAAACTGATATGATAAGTAACACTTTATCCATTGAGTAAAGAACACTTTACTCAATGCTTTATCACTCTGTATCTTTTAAACATACGTAATAAGAAAAAAATATTTGTTTAGATTTTCGTCTTATTTTGACTTGCTTAATCTGCTCCTAAATTTATGCCACTAAGTTTAGGGACACCTTGTATATTGAAGACTAAAAATGCAACATTTTAACACTATATTCAAAAGTGTTTTTATATCAGTTAAGCCTAAAATTTACTTATTCTTGTTTATATTTTTAAACAAAAAAGACCCGCAATTTTTTATATTATTATTTTTATCCAATACAGCAAAAACAGGTGTTTTTTGTGACTAAACTTATTTCATATTTTTATTTCTGAATCTCAAGCTATGATGATAAATATGACAAGAAAATTACTTTATGAAGCCTTGAAACAATGTTCAAAGAAAAAAATTGATGACAAATTCTTGTTTTTAGAAGACCACCTTAAAAATATAACCAAATGTCCAAAAAACGAACAAAGTTCACTAAAACGTACCTTAAAGACTTTTAAGTTTCAATATAAACAAAAATGGGTAGCCGCTTGTAATAAGGAAGAACGCTTTTTAAAGAAAAATCAACCATGGCTTAATACCACTATAACACTACCTAACTGGACAGTAAAAAGGCCCGGCCGACCATCAAAAGATTTCATTGAATCGAGTTCGCCAACCAAAAGGCGCAAAACAAAGGTTTGAGAGAACATATACCATGCGATCAGTTAACTTATGCTGCCCAAATGAGTCAGTGCTGCAGGACATAATGACGCGTCTAGAGTTATAATAGTTATTTACGATATAAGTGGAATAAGAGCTTTATTAACGTACGCATGCGAAATTTGCCCAACGAGTGCGTATCATACTTTATTAGTTTATCCAAGGTTTGTAAGCCTTCATCTTTATGGGCGTATTATTCTATGATCCATACAATGATTTCCATAAAACATAATGCTGTAAGCTATAAGTAAACACACACATTTGACATTTTGACTTTTTTATTTGATTGGTTGAAAAGCAGTGAGATAAGAAAAACGCATGCGTTAATTAACTTTTTATCTCACTCAACATGAGTGGGATAAGAAGTTCTTATCTCACTGGCGTAGATAAAAGATATTTTTTTAACGCCAGCAAAAGCCAAAAAATATAGAAAAAGTGTTACTTCTTTTTAAACGGATATTATTAAAAAGCACACAAGCGTTATCAATTTTTCTAGAAGCTGATATGACGAGAAAACAATAGAAAGTAATTCATGCTGCCAACAAGAATATCTATCCTTGTTATTCGCTTCTAAAAAAAGCAAAACAAGAATGTTATCCGCGACCAGAGTCGATAAGAGTTACAGAAACATGTTCTGAAATCAACCTTCAAGATCTTCTAAATCACACTTCTACGCGCTTGTGTGAAAATTTAGATGAAGTGTTTGAAACCTTGCATGAAGAACAAAGAAGCAATTTAGAGCTATTATTAAAATGTGATGGCTCGCAACAACAAACATTTAAACAAAAATTCCAAAATAATGCAAATAGTGACGCAAACATCTTCCAGAGTTTATTTGTGCCGCTACGGCTCATATGTCATACGTAACCAAAAAAAGATAATTTGGCAAATTCCAGCCGCCCAATACAAATTCGCTTTATCCACGAAACTAAAGAAATCACAAATGAAGAAATCCGCTATGTAGAAGATCAAATAAAAAACTTAAGAAAAACTGAAATACAGAGAGCTTTTGGTGGTATACTTCAAGTAAGCACACATTGTCGTTTACAATGATCGTTGCGAAAGTTTGCAATGCAGCGACAAACACGGCATCAACTATGAGGTGCTATATATGCAGGCAAACATCAAAAGATTTTAACAACTTTAATAAAAAAGCCAGACTCACTTAAATTTGGACTATCAGTACTACATGAAAGAATCCGGTTTTTTGAATCCTTACTCCATTTATCGTATAAAATATCCATATATAAAGAAATGGCAAGCAAGGAGGCAAGAAGATAAAAAAATCGTGGCTGAAACAAAACAGAAAATACAAAATAAATTTAAAGAGGAAATGGGGCTGCTGGTGGATATTCCCAAGCCAGGTTTCGGGAATACTAATGATGGAAGTACATCAAGAAGATTTTTCTCAGATCCACAAACTTCTTCCCGCATCATAGGACTTGACATAGGACTTATTGAAAAATGTAATATCATTTTAGAGACTTTGTCAAGTGGACACAAAATTGATGTCAAAAAATTTCAAAGTTTTGCAGGACAGCAAAACTTTACGTCAAAATGTATTGATGGTATCCAATGACTCCGACATTGCATAAGATATTGAGACATGGTGCCACAATAATTGACCACGCTATACTGCCTATGTTATATATAATAAATTGGCCAATTATCGGAAGAGGCTGCTGAGGCCCGGAATAAACACGCATTTATAGGCAGAATTATTCAAGAAAATTTTCGCGAGAAAGCTGTAATAGGGATATTTTAAACATACTACTGCTAAGTTCTGATAAAGAAAAAGACCCCCAAAAAAGAAGAAAACCTTTCTCCAGTGAAACAGTAGAGCTTTTGCTACATGAAACATTGGATATTCCACATAATAATAGTGAAGACGAAGATACATTCAGTGAAAACAAATCTGATTAATATGATTGTATTTTTTCTTTTTCAAACATATTTTTTTTTAATTTTGTGTAAGACTGACTGTTTTAAAAACAATATTATGACTCTATACTGCTTTTCATTATTTATCAAGTCGATAAAAATCACAAAATAATTTTGAGCAACTTTTAAGCTTAAATACTCATCTGTGCGACGAGAGCAAAATTAAAGTGTATTATAAAATTTATTTAAGTTTTTACCTTTAAAATACACAATCTTGGAAATATCTTTCCAGTTAAGCATATTTATTTTTACAATACACAGTTAAAAAAATCAGATATGTATAAAACCAGGGATTGTAATTATTTTAACAAAAAAAAAACATTTTACCGCAACTTTTGTTAAGGTACTATGCAATTTTGTAAGCGATTTGTTCATTTTTATAGTTTACAGATTATTTTGTTAATGTTTGAAAAATTATTTTGTTGAACCATCCAAATATCCAACTTTAGCACAACAATCCGCATTAACAAGTTCAACTTCGTAACGTGTTCGAAACAACTGCAGTGTTTATAATATATTAGCAGAAATCTGTTATTATTAAATTAAATTAAATTGTGTAAAAAAATCGAACATCAAAAAATCGATCATAAAAATCAATATTAAAAAATAGATTCTTTTGATAATTGATTAAAAATCTGCATCCCTAGCATTGGTTGATTTTTACATCTAGCACGCCTGGGACACCGAGGTATTAACCTTCGTGTCCCACGCCGTGAAATTTAAATGATTAAATAGTTGAAATTTATGGAAAACATATTTTTATATGAATCTATCTTGCCTTTAAATGAATCTATATGAATTTACCGAATGATTTGAGCTTTTGGCTCCATGTAACAATATTACCATTCAACCGTTCAAGTACTTTTTAACAGTAACATTGCGGCAACATCTCAGTTGAATAATAATAAAACATTGCATCAAGAATATGTATGTAATATTGGTACCTTGCATTGCAATGATATTGTAAGGAAGAATTAGGGTTGCTATAATATTGCATAACCGTGTGATGCAATTAAAAAATGACTTTTTGTTAATGCAAATCATCCTTTCGTGATGAATGCTGGCTTTTGAACAACAGTCGTGGGATTTTTTCTGTAAACTTGTAATTTCAAGTGTCTCCAAAGAAATAAATCCAATGTGCCTCATCAGAGACATCTTAGTGGAACGGGACCATGCTAAACACAAATTACCTTGTCATTTCACAAACTACCGTGCATAAAAAAACGATGCTGCCGTGATTAACCATCATAATATTTTTAAGACGTCAAATTTCCATGTCAAAGAAAAATAATGTTTTTTGCCCAAAGCATCTATTTTGAAAACAACAAACAAGGGTCCGCAGACGTTTGGTCTGCTTTCATATTCAAATGGGATACTATCGGTATTGCTCCAGTCCGCACAGCATGTATGTTAAACAATAAAGGCTTGAGCTATAAATACCCACAAACGTCAGGTGATTGTTTCTTGCAGGAATAATGAAAGGCTCTGGATAAGAACGCAGTTGAGCGTTTCATTGTGTATGAAGATAAAGTGCGTTCACGGCAGTCCATAAATTGTATCATTGCACCCTCAAATGAATGTAGAGAAAGTGGTGGAATAAACAGAATAAACAAAATTAATAGGGGTTTTTGTTATTGATGGTAAACCTGTTAACTCTGTTAGATTTAGAAGCTTTTAACATTTTATACAAATAATATTTACATTTTATTATTATATATAGTTTTGGAATTTCTTTTTAAATATTTTAGACAGTGCCATCGGAATTTTTATAGTTTTTATAAAAACTGTATACAGTTTTTGATTTTTTAGACAGGACAAAGTTATTCAGTTATTCAAGACAGTTTGGGGGCAGTTACGACAGTAATCGAACCAAACGTGTTTTTTTATTCGTCGTTTTCAGGAAGCTAACGTCGGCAAAACGTTGGGACGATATCGGGTTTATGTTCCAGGTGTAAAAGTATTAAATTAATAATTATTGTTTAAATGTTTTATTTTAAATAAAAAAAACAATGAAATTTTAAACACCCTAAATATTTTAATGTCAAAAAATTATTATCGAATAGCTAAGAAGAATAAAATATTAATTAATTTAAAAAGTAATATTTTTGTTTAGTTAATAGGTAATATTTGCCAACATTAAATATAATTGCTATATAAAATCCTAAAAGTTTAATTAATTAACAAATATATAAACAAAATTAATAGCGACACATCTCACCGCTTCTTACGTACGCTCGCTTTCTATAAATACCGATAGGCTAGAAATATTCAGATGGAGGTGTGCGTTTACATACACAAGCGCAATCATAATTGTTAGATCATCTACCGATGTTTCCCACTGATTAAGTTTCGAAATCTCTTTCCGACGAATAAATCCGACGGCATCCCGAGACATTTTAATCCTGATCGGACAAATGTCGGCAAGATACGTCTGGCAATCATCATCGCATGAGCATCGTCGATGTTTCTGTTGATTGAGGTTCGACGTCTATTTCCATCATCGGGCTGACCTAAAATACATCTGCATGCGACGTTTATCCATAAGTCGGCCAACGTACCAAAGTTGGCTGGGTACTTTAATTTAGTTTTATGGTTTTACGACTAAACAGTCCGGAGTAACATTACTCGGAATACTGTCTATGCCGAGCGGGGTCGGAGTGTTTGCTGAATGTTTGGTGCTTACTGGGCCCTTTATAACACATCCAAAAATTGGGAGCTATAAGTCCGTATATAAGAATAGATAGAAAACGCGTCGCTTGGCAGCGGGATATGGAGGTAGAATGCGCACAAATGATTATTAATCAACCGCGAATAGACCGTCGACTCACGTGACTGACTCGCTAGTTGGGCCTGGCCTATTCCCTCGCTAGTTGGGCCTGGCTATAGAAATTACTTTTCTCTACGACTACTTAAGAATAGTAACATTCTAGTGTAATTTTTGATCATAGAAAGGATGTTTTTCTGCAATACTGTGCGAGAATATTCCTACTCTTGTTTAAGAATGGTCACAAGTAACGACATCTCCTGGCTGTTTACTAAACGTAAAAAATTTAAAAATATTTAAATATTACTGTATTATTTATTAATTAAAAAATAATAGCAGTTGTATAATGAAGGTTTAGGCACAAAAAATTAGTTATATTTATTGTTTTTCAAATATACAAATCAAAATTATAATAAATTTGATATGAAAATGATAAACCAGTTACCTACTATACCGGCTTTGAAGTTTTGACAGATTCAAAAAGTTTAAAAAAAGACCTTTAAAATGTAGAAAAAGAATAGATGTTGACATGGATTACTTGTAAAATTAATTTTGTATTTGTTACAATGTTATTTTTTTTATTAGTTAGTGTAAATAACTAGTTTTAATTATAATAAAGATTTAGGCATACCATTTGTTTAAATTTATTATAATTTACATTATATAATTGTGACGGCACAAAATGGTTTGACAATACAAAAAACTTAAATGTCAAAAACTGCTTGGTTTCTTTTCTCTGTTTAAAATTATATAAGCGTTACTATTCTTACGTAGTCGTAGAGAAAATAATGTCTGAAACACGTTTGGAATAGCATATTCCACTCTCGTAAAACCGTCACACTCGCCTTCGGCTCGTGTGTCAAATTTTTCCTCGAGCGGAATATGCTGTATTCCAAACTTGTTACAGAATGTACTATTAAAACAACATAAATGTGGCAAAAGTCATTAACTCCATGTTCGTCAAAAAGTAGTTAGCTACCGCATCTGTGGTCTAGAAAAACTCATTAAGTGCAGTATTGTATTTTTAGCATGCAACAGTCGTGGTCTTTTTTAACTAAGTTCAAATTCTATTGTCACTTGGCAGGCAAAAGTTCATAAGTGTTTTTTTCTCAAAATTAACATTTAGGACTTAATGAATTTTGCCAGAGCGGTGACGATATTAAATGAATTATACCTAAATTAAACAAAATTGTGTTAGTGGTGGTTAAATTTAATTATTGAAATATTAACGTTTGATACCTATATTGTATATTTTTAATGAAACGATTATTATATTTATTTAACCAGGCAACTACCTAATTAATTAATTTCTATATTAAAATTGATTTAATAATATTTATTAGGGCTTAACATTAGATCCGGATCCTTTTTCAATCCGGATCGGATCCGGATCTGATCCGGATTTTTCAACGTGCATAATCCGGTTCCGGATCTATCCGGATATAATACTCGAGATCCGAATACTGGATCTTTGTATTGCTAAACATCAGATCAGGATCTTCTTCAATCCGGATCAGATCCGGATCTTTTTCAATCCGGATCGGATCCAGATCTTTTTCAAACCGGATCAGATCCTGATCTTTTTCAATCCGGATCAGATCCGGAGCAAAGATCCGAAATCCGAATACACAACTGCTTAAAAGAGTTTTTTCTCAACAATATGCTTATAATTAATAATAATAATATAATTTATAATATATATAATATCATTCATTAGTTAATTCTAAGTCTATTTTCTCCATACAAAAATATTTGGCCGCTCCTCTTTTAACAAAAACTACGTCGATTGTTCACCAAGACAAACTTAAGATGTCAAATAAGAAAATTCTTCATTGCGAAATAAAGTTAATAATTTACAAATTAATTATTATTTTTGATACCAAAGATTCTTATTTTTGACTATTATTTGCTATTTGATCTCTTTTTAAGAATATTAAATATAGGTACTGTACTGTAGAATATTTGTTTTGTTTATAATACAATAATGTTAAAGTATTTAATAAGATCTGATATCCGGATCTAAGATCCGATATCCGGATCTAAGATCCAAAATCCAAAATCCGGATCTAAGATCCGATATCCGGATCTCGGATCTTAGATCCGGATCTCAGATTTGGATCTATATCCGGATCTTAGATCCGGATTTTGGATCCAAATCTGAGATCCGAATCTGGTTCCTATATTTAAATCCGGATACGGATACATCCGGATACGTTTTTTTTTCAAGGATCCTCGATCCGTAAAAATATCGGATCCGTGCACTACTAATATTTATATTTATTGAACATATAGTTATAATTTAATTTAATTGTATATATGTTATGGCTAATGTGCAAACTTGGATAGTTTATAAACTAGCTGGATAGTTTATAAACTAGCCAAACTGTCAGCTATTTTAATTGACATATTTTCAACTAAATTAGCGGCTAGTTTACAAAATAACCAAGGATCTTGGCTAATTTACTTGAAATTATTAGGGAAACTAAAATAGCTGGATAGTTTGTATACTATCCAATTCAGTTTGGCTAATATGAAAACCAAAATTTCTAGTAACACAAAATAGCCAAGCTTTAGCTAGTTTGTAAACTAACCAACCAATTCTCTGGCTAATTTATTAAAAAAAGGTTACGGCATTGTTTTTCGTTTTGCCGGCTTAACGGGATTTGTTTTGTGCATTTTAACGTTTTTAAAATGAATCATAGGCAAAATTTTAACGCTTCCTTGTTAGAAAACTCAACAACACAACCCTACCGACCCCGCCCCATTGGTCAAATGGTCAAAAATGAGAGAAAAAAACCCAAACCAACCCAAACTCAACAACACAACCCAACCGACCCCGCCCCATTGAGCAAAAAACCCAACTAAAATGGGCAATAGCCAGAGAATTAGTTGGTTAGTTTACAAACTAGCTAAAGCTTGGCTATTTTGTGTTACTAGAAATTTTGGTTTTCATATTAGCCAAATTGAATTGGATAGTATACAAACTATCCAGCTATTTTAGTTTCCCTAATAATTTCAAGTAAATTAGCCAAGATCCTTGGTTATTTTGTAAACTAGCCGCTAATTTAGTTGAAAATACATTTTCAATTAAAATAGCTGACAGTTTGGCTAGTTTATAAATTATCCAGCTAGTTTATAAACTATCCAAGTTTGCACATTAGCCGTAACATATATACCTATTATAAAATAGAAATTGTAATAATGTGTAAATAATATTTAAAATTTTGAAGTCAAAATTTAGAATAAACATAATTTCATTATAAAAAATAGATTTTCAAAAATCTTACCAAAAATGTGTAAATTATGCAAAAATTTGTGGGAAAGATAATATGTGATATTATCATAATTATTATCTATGCACTGTTTAACAAAGAGGTTTTTTTTTAATAAATTACATTTCTTGATGTTGCATTAAAAACTCACTCTCATGACCTAAACCTATTTCGATCTAAAGAAATATTGTCTAGAAAAGTAAAACCATTGTTTTTACCATTGTCTTGGCCAAATAGTCTCCCCAAGTGAGCGGTGTTGTATAACCATTGTTAAACAATACCGCTCACTTGGGGGGACTATTTGGCCCAATACACTTCTACCATTCTTAGGTTTTATACCTAAATAATATATATTTTTAATGTGTAATATTTTAGGACTTGATAGTAAATATAATAATAGTATTAGTATTATTATTATATTGCAATATTTTTTTCTGCTTAAGCTTACTGTTGCGCAAAATATATAAAAAAAAATACATTTAAGTGTATATCTCCACAACGGCATACGCGATTTTAATTTTTCTGGCAAATTAAAGCTAATAATATCACTAGGTATTTAAAAAAAATCTTTTAATTATTATATATTTTTTAAGTTGAAAACGCCAAATGTACCAACGTGAAACACAATAAATTATCTTGTTTTTATATATTTTTTTTCTTATAAGCAGACTTTTATTTTTTTTATTTGTTATTTACAAAATGTTGACGTAAATAAAAATGAAATGTATAAATTATGAATATCAACTTAAAGGTCCTGATGAAGAACAAGCTATAAAAACAATTAAGCTTAAAAGAGGCAGAGAAAAACCTCGTAAGGTAATCATTGGGCCCAGGGGAAGACCTAGAAAAGAGTATCAAGTTGCTGGTGAAATCATAAACGATAATTAAGTTAAATATTTTGTTGGCTTATCAGAAATTCTTATTCGTTAAGCTATAGATGGATCCAACTGCGATAAATGGCTACAAATTTTTAATTTTACTAATAGATAAATATAATTCTAATGGAAAATTTTAACAAACTGTCACTGTGACGTATTTTATTTTTAATTACATATGAGTACATTACACAACTCTGTATTTGCAGGATAAGTGATTTTGAGAAAAACATGAAAAACCGCTCATAAGATCATTTTAGAAAAAAAAATTGTATAGACTTGGTTTTATATAATTTTTATTCAAAAAAGTAGAAAAAAAATCCTTTAAAATTAGGTATTTTAGTAAATAATTGTAATCAAAAGATTTAAAAACATAGTTTTGCATCTTCCTCGTTCAAAGACCAAGTTTTGCAAGTGAAAAGTGCAAATACCAAAAAATAACAACGAAATACCAAAAAATGCAAAATGCAACAATGCAAATACCAAAATATAACAATTATTCAGGTAATTGTTATGTCGTCACATACAATGGTTTACTTAGGTATGCTGTAGGCAGTGCAGTAATGTACATAAATAGCATAAAATATATATTTTTAAAAATTTGCAAAAACCGAGTTTTGCATCTAATGTACTCATATATAAAGTTCATTTTTTTATCTGGACTGCGGCAACGTTGCAAATTTAGGGTTTTGGTTAGTAAATAAAGTTGTCAAGTTGGTCGCATTGATTAAAATAAACTAAGCTAGTTATAAATCTAATCGTGGTTATGTATAAATTATTGTAGGTTACATTGTGCAGTTGTCAAGTTGAGTTGTCGAAATTCGTAGTTAAAAATGCAATTAATTTGGCTTTGGTGGTGCTTGGAAAAGTAAAATCATTTAAAAAAGTAGTTAAATATAGGTTGCTTAACGGCCCAGAAGAGAAAGTATTCCTAGCGGATAATAATCTTCGCTTTGAAAAGAATTTATATAAAAGAAATTAAAATTTTTTGTGAACGTAAATGTTGTCCAATGGTGAATATTGTGTGATGTAATATTTATAAAACCAAATTCGTTACTTTTTTACTCCAAAAATGTTCATAAGGCGATGTACTTTTTCTTCCATTGTGGCATTTGGCATAATTTCATCAAAATGAAGTTTTGCTCTCAAAAGGGCTCAAATTCGTTGCTATTATTTTTGGCATAATTATCTTTTTATTTATAAATTATCAATAATAAATATTATTGTCAATTTGACAGTGTCAAGGTATTTAATTAAATTCTTTAGCAGAAGTACCATTTTTAAATACTAAAAATACTAAGTCAAACTGGCATAAGCCACCAACCTAACAAAAAAAAACACCCAGAAAAAATGAACTGTAGGTAATGTCTTTGTAAATATCACAACAAAAAAATAAATTAAAAATAATAACAAATTTTGAGAGAAAAGTATTTTAAATGGTTTAAATGAAAAAGTATTTGTGATGGGTAGAATTTTTTCTAAATCAACTGAATCATTAAATCTATAAAAAACATGCATATGTATATGCATTATAATAATAATTATTATAGTAAGAAAAAATTCTATAGAAAACATGCATATATGCAATAATGTTATAATTATTATAGAAAAGGAAAATTCTAAAAAAAATTCTTTGTTTGTCCCGTTCTCGTCGCGTTAAAAGGCCTAAGGTACATTTATACCAAATTTTATTTAAATCCCGTCCCGTTCCTCTTCTATTCTAGGACCTAAGACACCTTTATTCCAAATTTTATCAAAATCCCTTTAGCCCTTAAATACTTTAATAAATGGCGAATGCACCGGGATTAATTATAACTGAATTTTGAAGTGTCCATAATTAAATAACTTCAAACATTCTGTTCGCACCAATTTTTTATATAAAATTGATTAGAAGATAAGATGAGTTGATCAAGTGCCTTTAATTTAGTAAATTAGTAATAATAATATTATTACTCATTTACTGAATTAAAAGCACTTGATCAACTCATCTTGTCTACTAATAATATTATTCTTGCTCATCTATTTGACCCCCACCCCCAAGGTCATACGCCATATAGTTTATTATTAAACATTTTTTAATAGATCATAAGAAATATGTATTTAACTTATTTTACAGACCCATTTGTTTTATAATAGGATAATTAATTAATTAATTATTAGTTATTTAAAAAAATTAAAAAAATTGTTTTGATATTGCAAAAGAATATTTTTATTTGTGGAGTAACGCCAAATCCAGAACCCCCTCTCCATGCCACACTTCATTACAAACGGTAAACCCCCACAAAGCGTGTCACCCAGTTTATAAACGACCCGGTATCTATTAAAAAGTCCAAATAGTAATAATTATATGTTTTAATATATAAACTACCTCCTGCTCCACCCTATACTAATTAAATATTTATATTGCAAAATTAACATGGCAAGATGGATATCTATTCAAAAGTCTTAATAATATGTTGTGATCAAAGGTCTTATTAATATAAATATATGGTGGGGCAAGGGCAATTTATTGTTAACAACAATGTTAAACTTTGGATAAAAGTTTTTACTATTTTAAAATGTATTGTCGAGTTTTGTATCTATACCACTCATATAACCAATTAATAAATTATAAATTTGAAACTCATTATTTTTCAAACTAAATAATAATATTTTATTTAACATAATATTTAATATGATTTATGTTTAAGTTATTTAATGAAGCTATAAATAATATTTTATATACCAAACTATTTTTAAAAATTTAAAATATAAAAATATACAAACTCAGGCCCGTTCCTGGGGTGTCTGGCGCCTGCGTGCAGCATTCGTTGGTGCGCCCCTTTTATATTTAAATATAATACATTAAATATTTGAATTTTAAGCCGTAAAATTTAAAAAATATATATTTTGCGACAAACTGGCAATAAGTAATTAAAAAAGTAAAAAAAACGCTTAAATGAAGTATAAAAAATATTTATTAAATTACCAAACAAACAAGTAATAGCATAAGGGCATCTATTTTTTCCGAAATAAATCGAAAAAACACGTTGCTAAGTAATATTTTAACAAGAATTTTGTTAAAAAATATTACTTAACACTTTTGTTTTAACGATTTTTTTCACAGGAAAAGTTAGATGCCCGAATGGTATTTGACAATACTATTTCATGAGTATTTTTGAACAACAGCTGTCAAGTTTTGCAGCGGGTAAACTCGAAAAAACTGCTGACAGGTGCTGTCATACAGTTTTTCCCCCTAGAAACCATTTGTAGTTCAAAATTGCGCGTTTGTGATTGGTGGAAATTAAGACGAGGGAAATAGTCAGTGATAAAAATACTCTAAAGAAAACAAAAAAAAAACAATCTAAACAATATAATAACTACAACTGGTTTTTAGTGACGTGCTCTCTAAAAATGACTAGTTTTCAAAGTAAAAAAGCAGTCACTAATAACTTTAGTCCACAGCAATTTGTATCCCGGGCATTTAACAGCTTATTTTTATGTAAAATTGTCCCCTGAATCCGAAAATTCTGTCAAAAATTATAAAAGTAAAGCAGTTTTTAAGATATAGTCAATACCATATTATATGGAAAATTTACTAAATCTCAAAAACGTTCTACTTTTATAACTTTTGACGACATTTTCGGATTCAGCGGACAATTTTACATAGGAGTTGACTGCTAAATATCCGGGATAGAAGTTGCTATTGACAATAATTATTAGTCGCTGCTTTTTCGCTATTGCAATTAGACTAATTGAATGAGTCATTTTTGACTAATTCTATTATATTATATTTAAGAGAGTTACTACTGTCAAACTTTGCTACCGTCAACTGCAACTATCAAACAAATACTAAAGATAATTTAATTTAATTTTGATCCTCTTATCAAAACAAAATAAGCAGCCAATATCAAAGCTGCAAAAGGCTTTTATAGCGACCGAAAAAAAGAGCGGCCGACGCAAAAAAGGCAGAAACCTTTATCCAATGTATGCTTGCTTAGGTATCATACTTTCTAAAAACGAAACAGTGGATTTTCACTGATTGACAGTGCATATTAACTATTTGCCGCAGTGATACCAGTGATACCACTAGCAATTAGTGACTACTCACTTTTTCATGTAGCGATTTCTTTGCACTAATTTATTTAGTGGAAATTACACTATACAAATTATTGAAATAGGTTTAGTTCAAAAAAGTTAAAATTTTACTATTTTATGTCGAGAGTTCCGGAAAGTAGTGATAATAAAAAACACTAATTTGGAGAAGTTAAAATTTCACTAATTTATATTGAAAAACACTAATTTTACAGTGAATAATAACTCACTGACGGAAATAGTGAAAATTTCACTGTTTCACTTTTAAAGAGTATGGAAGAAAGTTTATCGTTACAAAGTACTGATTGACTCTTTGATTTTGCGCCCCAGAAATGTTGCGCCTGCGTGCGTGCACGCACTGCACGCTCGCCAGGAACGGGCCTGTACAAACTACACACAGAGATTTTATAGAAAATAAAATGTTTTATTTAAAAATATTTTTGATAACTTCATTATATATTTTAAATCCAAACAAATACTAAATTCAAAAAAGACGAGCAAAGATTTTGTATCACAAAGAAAGTAACATTTTAAGTTTTTTTTAAGATGGACTATTAAAACTTGTAACATTATGAAACAGAAGTTCTGAGGTGATCTTTTTATTTTTTTAATAAATGATTATTTAAATGGGACGTTTTCAAAAAACACCCGCCGTAAGTATGAATTCCAATAACTTTGTTATAAATTATCGGATCTTATTGATTTAAAACTAAGTGAAAGCTTAACAAGCCCTTAGTAAACTCTTTCAAAATGTTTGTTTAGTTATTTTTAATTTTTTTTTATTTTAAAACATGTGAAACACACATTTTTGAATGTCCCATTAGCGTTTTATAAAACTTACATACATGTTTTTTTTTAATATTGAATAACCAGAACTTTGTGTTGCTTTATAGCAATCCATAACATCCTTAGTTAATACAGTAAACAATTTATATATAA